TTATCAATCTGTAATAAAAAACGTGAGGAAATTCTGTCTTTTTTAAAGACAAACATTTTTGAGGCGAAATACCCAAAAAGAAGTTTGTAAAAAAATGTATTTTTTAGTTTCCGGTTTATGTGGTTATTGAAAGTATAATTACAAACAGAACAAGAGACAAATTGGAATGACTGAGATTAAGCGGTTTTAAGCTAACAGCTGACCAAGATGTTTATTGAACTAGTTAAAAATTATTTTTAAAAATTATTCATTAAATACATTCACTTTTATAACATTAGTATAGGTAAGGACTTCAATGAATGCCAAACGCCTGCACCTACACACTTTCATGTACACCAAGGACGAAATATTGTTGAGAAAAAGCTGAGAAGAGTTAGTTTGGTAATCTGTGATCTTGTCTCTGACTACAAACTATAAATTGTTTAAGGCGACTCCGTAAACGCAAGTTATCAGCCTCCTAGTTGACAAGCAATACTGGTATAGGTAGATATTTTGAAATTGACCGCGCCTATTCATTGGCAAAGGGTGGCAACGTCGCAAGGATTATGTTCTCCTATTAGCTGCTGCTGAAAAGGTGTGTGCAGAACTCACCTAGCCTTAGCAGATACGGGGGATGCGTTGGAATTGGCGGTACCTGCCCGAGGTACCATGGAGATGAATCGGGACAGCGCGGAGGCCCTCACGCGAACGATGGTGTTTCTCGTGTGACTGCCAGTCAGTCTAAGATTGCACACGTCTAGTTCGCCAGCACTTGAACTACCTGCAAACCATTTAAATGCAACGGTGAGATGGAGGTGTTGAGTGGATGGAGATAGAGGCGGTTTTACCGTTGCTGTGTCCTGGACCCGACTCGGGGCTCGAGGGCGGTGTCAGAGTGGTTGGGTTTCTTGTCACCAGCCTCAGTTGCAAGGTGTCGCCGTTCCGGTGGTAGGAGTCGTCGTCCTCCTCTTCCTCTTCATCGTCGATCGGTTCCTGCAAGCAAAACTCCGTACTCATCTGCCTGCAAGTTGGCGCCTCCCTCGATTTACCTGTTTTACCAAAACTGCACAACTGAGCGCGCCGTCCCAGGAGATGGGCGAACTCGCACTGCTCAGTCCATCCAGTCGATGGTCGGCAAACTCCTCCAGGCTGGTCACTTCGTACCAGCTGCATCTGGCGCTGTCCGGGATTTTTTTGTAGGATTGCATTTTGGGCTCGTCTTTGAGGTAGCGTTCCATCTCGTAGCATGTCTGGAAATTACTCACATTTTAGACGAGAAAGTGGTTATCGATGGGGGCGGTTGAGATGACAATATGGACCAGGTGTAGACCACAAAACGTGCATAGTATCTGGATTAAAAACCGACATTTTTGGGAAAAAAGAGGAGTTTTAATCCAAGATTGTACGTTTTGTGGTCCAGACGCGCYGTTTTACGCCTCGCAAGTCAGAGCAAGCAACTTTGGTAGCTACCGTCCAAAATCACTTAAGTTTGSAAATTCRTCATTGAATCTGAAGCTCTAAAGGCATTTTAATGAAATCTTGCGCTATTTAACGCTGAAAYCGCCAACTTTCTTGCTGTTTTTGTTTTCGAAAAAGACACATTTTGGCATGACACACAGTTGGCTATGAATTTTCAAGTATCAAAACCGTTAAAAAAGCTTGAAAATGTTGTGGATTCAACCTTTCCAAACACATTAAGAAGGTTTTTTGCTTTTTGTTGATAWAATTGGCCGCTTTCTGCTTGTTCCAGTTTTAGAAAAAAGCTCAGTTTTCRGAATAATWGCAGTCTTTCTAGTCTATAATGGATGGAACAAGTTTGAAAAATATTTGAAAAATCCCTRAAGGAGCCACCAATTCGAAACTTTCACATCACTTTTARYGGGTTTCGGGATAAATAATCATAAAACCGGCTACKGTTTAGCTGCTTTAGTTTGACCAAAACTTGCGTTTTTTTATGGCTGCAAAAGCCGGCGTTTYTGATATAATCATTTAASWTTRAAAATTCACAAAAAAATCCCTAAAGTTGTCATAAACTCGAAACTTTCTCAGAAATTTAAGTGAACTTTGCAGTATTTAACTAAAAATCCGCAACKCTGTCGCARCATTAGTTTTSGAAAAATTTACAGTTTTTAGGGCGATKGCAGAAAACCGATGTTGTCTTTTCATATGAAAGTTTAAAAAKTCGTCAAAAAATCGCTGAAGACGTCCTTAATGCCAAACCTTYCCAACGACTTAAGTGGGTTTTCTGCTAACGAACTCTACAATCCGTTACTTTTTGGCTTGTTCTCTTTGAGARAAAATTGCATTTTTTTGAAATGACCGCARAAAGTCGCTGTWGGATAAAATCGCCTGRAAGTACAGAAATGCGGTAAAAAATCCTTCAAGAAGTCATCAAGTCGAAACTTAAGGCACTTTGAGTGAGCTTTGCGCTATTTAATCCTAAAACCGGTARCTTTCGTGCTGTTTCGGTTTTSGAAAAAATCACATTTTTCCGGAACAGTGCTGAAGCTGAACTACTATGAATTTTCAAGTTTCAAAACAGTTAGAAAAAAATTTAAAACATCGGGGAATCAAAAGTTTCAAAACACATTAAGAAGGTTTTTTGCTTTTTGTTGATAAAATTGGCCGCTTTCTGCTTGTTCCAGTTTAAAAAAAAAGCTCAGTTTTCGGAATAWTTGCAGTCTTTCTAGTCTATAATGGATGGAAYAAGTTTGAAAAATMYYTGAAGAATCCCTGARCCACCAATTCKAAACTTTCACAKCACTTTTAGTAGGTTTCGGGATAMATAATCATAAMACCGGCTRCTGTTTAGCTGCTTTAGTTTGACCAAAACTTGCGTTTTTTATGGCTGCAAAAGCCGGCGTTTTTGATATACTTCATYATTTAASWTTGAAAATTCAYAAAAAAATCCCKAAAGTTGTCATAAACTCGAAACTWTCTCAGAAAWKTAAGWGAACTTTGCASTATTTAACTAAAAATCCGCAACGTTCTCGCAGCATTASTTTTCGAAAAATTTATARTTTTTAGRGTGCTTGCAAAAAACCGATGTTGTCTTTTCATATRAAAGTTTAAAAAGTCGTCAAAAAATCGCTGAAGACGTCCTTAATTCCAAACCTTCACAACCACTTAAGTGGGTTTTCTGCTAACGAACTCTACAATCCGTTACTTTTTGGCTTGTTCTCTTTGAGAGAGGTAAAAAATCCTTCAAGAAGTCATCAATTCGAAACTTTTAAGACACTTTGAGAACTTCTGTCTGTTTTCGTTTTGGAGAAAACCTCAGTTTTCGAAATAACTGTAAAACACTTTTATGGTCTGTAATGGCATAAGTGTGAAAAATCATTGAAAAATCCCTGAAGGAGCTATCAATCCGAAACTTTCACAGCACTTTTAGTGGGTTTCGGGCTAAATAACTAAAATACCGAGTACTGCTTAGCTGCTTCAGTTTCAGGAAATTTGAGTTTTTCTAAAATGGCTGCAGATGATATAATTATTTAAGTTTAAAAATTCATAAAAAAATCCCTAAAGTTGTTATCAATTCGAAACTGTCAGAAAACTAAGTGAACTTTGCACTATTTAGCTAAAAAATCGACAAGGATCTCGCAGCATTAATTTTCCAACAATTTATAGGTTTTAGGGTGATTTCAGAAAATCGACGTTGCCTTTTCATGTAAAAGTTTAAAAATTCATCGAAAAATCCCTGAAAGCCTCAGCAATTCGAAACCTTTACAACGAATTAAGTGGGTTTTCTGCTAACGAACTCTACAATCGGCTACTTTTTGGTTCGTTCACTTTGAGAGAAAATTATATAAAGTAGCTCGAAAGTCCGG